ACCCCCTTGTCTTAGGCCCTCTAGAAGCAGAGCTTGTGGCCAGGATTCAGGTGAAAGCCCAGGGGACTAAGGCTGAGGAAGAGGGAAATATGTGCACAGAAGACACAAAGCAAGGTGGTGCAATGCCTTACTGTCTTGACTTGCTTCACATGGGCCACAGAAAGACACTGCAGTTTGCTTGGCCAGAGTGTGTGCACTCAGCATGCGGTGGGACTCCTCTAGAAGGCTGTAAGGAGGAAGCACACCTTGCAGTAGCCCATAGCTTCCACCCACAACCTATCCCCATGGGGCAAGGTTCACATCAAGCTTCTGGGTTCTGTCAACCAACCCTTGGTGGCATTCAGAAACCACTATGAAGTGTGGCCTTTCGTCTAAGCCTGAAGGTGGGGGGCAATGTCAGAGAGAGTAGGGAGGTAGTCAAGTCATTCGAGAAGAAAGGTTTCCATCTCAATATGGTCCAGCCCTCGTGCCACTGAGATCCATTCACGCCCTTGCATTATATCTGACTTCCCTACTACAACATGGGGCCTCCGGTTTTGTCCAAGAGAACAAAGCTGTCATTACTTTTTCTGCAGAAACGGAGGTACAGTCCACTGTAAACAAAGCCCCTTCAAGGTAATGCTAGCTGTGATCCCAAGGAAGATAAGGACAGGAGGGTTAATGAAGCAAGTCTTAGTCCCCACTACTGTAGCTGGTCCTGATTCCGTAACTGATCTTGTCTCCCTCCTTCTCTTATCCTCAGTTAACCCTCTGCAGATCTAAACTACTTGCCAGATGAGATTATATGGGCTTTCGTCCCTGGGAGCACTGATCCCTTGGTTGCCTTCCCTTTGGGGATTGTCACTGTTGAAGTTGTCCATCGTCAATTACAACTGGGTGGGAGTTTCTAAGAGATGTCCAGTGAAACTCCTGGCAGGGTTCAGACACAGCCTTCCCTGACCTTATTGCATCGATATGTATTCTATCTACTGCTCTTATTCCTCCTGGCAATCAGGATCAATGGCTTGACCAATCCAGCAATGAATGTCCTTTTTTGCTATTGGTCCCCTGGCATAAAGAGCAGTCACAGCTTCCAGTTTAGTACGAATGTTACTCTGTTCCCTGGTACATACAGTTGCCACTGCATGGGAACTAGGACCCTTAACAAGCAGAGCCTAAAGTTTTGGGAACAAGAAGCAAAAACTGTGCAGATCTGAGAGTGAGATGGGCCACTTGCACTTCCACATTGACTATGGGACCTGTAATTTCCAGGTATAGGGGACAAAGTGCTATCAAACAAATACCATGTCCAGAAGTTCTGGGCCCAAACTCACACGTGTCATGTTTCTGCCAGCAACTTCTGAGCATTGCACAGGCTGCTCCACTGTTCTGCCAGGCCCACTGCTTCTGGGTGATGAGGTACAACTTAGTAAGACCAATGTATCTGTTGAATTTACCACGATTTCATTACCTCATAGCATATGCAAAAATTAATGCAAAATGGATCAAAATCTAAATGTTAAGAGCTGATGATGTTTAAGTCTTAGGTGACCTCATTATTGTACCTTCCTTGTAGAAGCACTGTGGACAAGGAAGACAAACTCAAACCCCAAGCACACACTGGTTCTAGTAAGGACAAATAACTGTCCCCTCCAGGGTGGAAGGAAGGGATTCAGTGCAAGCCATGTGCCACCAGGGACTAGGCTGGTCTGCTGAGGAAGAGAACCACACCAGGTGTCCAGCATGGGGCTTGTTGTAGGCAGGTTGAGCCCTCAGAGTGGTAGGATGAGCTCAGCCTTAGTGAGGGGAGCCCATGCTGTTGGGCCCATACATGACCCCCATTCCTGGCACCATGACCATTCTAATCAAAAGCTATTGTGCAGACATTTGAGGTGGACAGGAAAAGATTCACTCACCTCATGAATCATTGTGTCTGCTGTGTTGACAGCAACCTGGCATTTCTGTCTCCTTTCCTATCTCATTCCTATTCTCCTGCTCTGCAGGGTGTTTGAGACCCAGAAGTTTGCACGCTTGGTGCCCACTTCCAAAAGTCTGTCCATCTGTCTTTCCATAGCCCTCTTTCTCAGTGATCTTGGTTTTGTTCTTTCTAGGCTCCTGACCAATGAGCCAAGTGATTCACAACTTCCCAGGAGTCAGGGAATATCCACATCTCAGACCACGTCTTCTTCTACATGAAGCTGACAACCAAATGTACTGCTCAGAGTTTTTTGCGCACTGGATAGTACTTCCCCTGACCACTGTCTTTTGGTGTCACCCCTCAGAGGGCCATAATATGACATCAGTCCACCTCAGACTCTCACCACCATATCACACTGACCATCTGTGGGTCCCTTCCTTGTCATTGGGTGATCACAGGAACTCTGAGAAGCCACACAAGCTTTATGACCCAATATCCCCCTCCACTCCTATCTGCCTGTGACTTCCTCTCTATTCCTGACTATTGGGAAGTGGTCCCTCACCCCTCTGGCCTCCAATTTCACTTCACACCCTTGTTGAACCAGGCCAGCAGGGAGATGGGGTGCTACTTCCTCCTGGGCCTTGGGGGTAGGGTGCTGCCTTCCCAATACCTTAGCATCCTCACAGCAGTAACAATATGGTAACAACATCAACAATAGCTCCTGCGCATGAGGTGCTCCTTGTGTGCCCCACAATGTGCTAATAGTCAGGGCCAAGACTAGAGCAAAAAGAACAAGGAGCTTAGGACACAAATTTTAAGAAGATCTCAGTGTCATACAAGTCCCAAATCCTTTAAATTTTGGGTTCCAGGCACTTGATTTTGTCTAGTCTTGACCCTACTAATAAACTCGTGGCATAGATTGTCTTCTTTCATTCTCATAAGTAAATACTATTGCCCCCATTTTACAGATGAGGTAACTGACTAGGAGGTTCATTTGACAAAGTCACTCTGTTGGCAACTGGCACAGCCATGTTTTTCTGACTTTAAGGCCTAAGCTCTTAGCCTCTGAGCCCTGCGGGAAGCTCCCTGAGGGTGATCCTCCAGAAGAATCGAAATCCCACTCAGACGTGGGCCACGGGACCAGGTTGCACTGATGCGGGAAGGCTGTATCCGAGGACCTAGGGGAGAGTCCAACAGGATCAGTCAAGAAGATCTTTGGCTTCACGCAGGATAGAAGTCAAACGTGAGCCAGAGAAAGTGAAAACAGAGTTTGCTGAATAGCATGAGTGAAGAAAATAGCGGAGTGTCTAGGAGGCTTGGGAAGGAGATAGGAATGAGTTTTGTCGTTGCTTGGGGCCATAGATCTAGGGTATGTGTTTCGTCAGGAGTCCATGGTGGGGTCCAATCAAAGGCGGGTGTCAGGTGAACAATAGGTGTTATTTCATAAGTTACTGAAGAAGGTAGGGGTATTGATGCCAGCATCAGCTGAGGTTTGTTTGAAGGTAATGTCCTGGAACATGTTTGGGATCTGGCTCTTCTTAGATGTTATCAGGTGTTTGGGGCCTAGGACAAAACTCAGAGAAAGATGAACTTTCTTGCTCCCCCCCCCCCCTTGAAGTGGGAACATAGCTTCTTCCGCTTATTCACAGGCAAAATATGAAACATGAGTAAATGGGGCCTAGCGGAAAAACAGCAGAGACGCAACCTTTCTGCCATGGAGTGCCTTCAGCTTCCCTACTTCAGTACCACGCCTTTTCTCAGCGCTGGCAAAGCAGAAACACGTTTTGTGCAGAGGAGGGGGCTGCGCCAGAATGGGCAGGAAGGGGGCGCTTTCCCGAGCATGTCCACTAGATGGCTCCCCAACACCGAGTCACTGAGCTCGGGTGACCGAGTGGGCGGCCCCCCAGTGGAGAGACGCAGAGCAAGGCCATCCCCTCTCCTCTGGCCAGCCTTCACAGGACCCGGGGTTGACGGTCCCGACCCAGATATGAGCCTCGGCCGTCCTCCCGAGCTCTGCCCATCGACCCAGGTTTCAAACCCTCTTCTGCTCTCCCCACCCTCCGAATCCTCCAGGGGATGATGGACTCAGGGCGCGGAGGCTTCCCGGGGCACGCGGGAGAGTATCTTCTCAATTTCCTCTACGAATTGAGCCGTGCCCAGCGCCTCCCAGTGCCTCCACAGCACTGCCTCTTGCCTCCGTTCCCTTCCTGAATTCCCCAGGCCCTCCCTGTCACTCCCACCCTCTCAGCTTCTGCCAGTCTTCTGAGGCAGGGACCATTAAGGCCGTTTCCACAGATTTGGTGATGCAAATACATGCAAATATATGCAAATCGCCATGTAAAGGAGGCTTGCCACTGTGGTTCTAAGTGGCTGTCACAGCTTCTCTGACACCTGTTCTGAGAGACAGCTGCCCTGCCCCCCTCCTGCTCAGAAATCTATCTGATATTTACCCCCCTTTCTCTTCCAAAACTCTGGCTTCTGGTCCCCTTTCCTTCAGGGACCCTGGCTGGACACTTGGAGTCTTCTCTCCAAACTCTCTAGAGAGGGCAGGGAGGGAACCACATCTTATTGTGCACAGACTTTGGCTTCTGAAAATCACACCATTTCCTGGCTGTGTGGCCTTGGAAAAACAGCTGAACTTCACTGAGCCTCAGTTTCATCAGCAGCAGAATGGGAATAGTGATAGTATTCACCTCATAAGGTTGTTGTAAAGATTCCACTCAATAATACACGTAAAGTGCTAAGCACAGTACTTTGAAGAACATAGGAAGCACATTGGCTATTAACAATGTGATTATCATTGACCTTGCTGGTCATCGTATTCTGAGGGCTTGGGCTTTAAGACAGGTATGCAGATGGGCAGAGTTCTGGCATGCGCACATGGGGACTCATCCTTGTGCATGCATGTGCATACACGCGTGCACAGCTGACAGCCTCACGCACTGGCAGGGCACATGCTCGGGTACACACACATTCAGAAACACACACAGGAGGAGGCTGTGGGAGGTGGAATCTGAGTCATCGAGACCAGAGCTGTGGGTGGTGCTTTTGTCCTGATTTCCGGGGCTCCACGCTCCATTTCGAACAAGGAAATGTATGGGGGATGGCACAGCCAAGCCTCCAACTGAAGCTAGTTGTGTGGGCCCTTTCTTGCATCAGCCCCCTCCCCAGCTGGTCCCAACCCAGCTCTGTGTCATCTAGGCTTCTCTTTTCTCTGACCTTAATGCTACTAAGTCCCCACAGGTGGGGCTGGGCAGGCACACTGGGTCCTTGACGTCATAGCACAAGCCCTGGATGACATCATAGAGCAGGTGCTGCCTGCTCCCTGGAGCATGCCCTAGGAGCTTGGTAAGTGTAGTGGGGAAGGAGGTTTGGGGGAGGTAACATATGGTGGTAGTTAAGAGCCCGTAATTGGGAAGGAGACAGACCCAAGTTCAATTAAGTCCTGGTTCTGCGTGACCTTTGGTAGTTTCCTTAAGCTCTTTGGATCTCAATTTCTTCACCAGTAGAATGAGGTCAGTCATACCTAACTCAGAGGGTTTTTGTATCTTTTCAATGAGATAATGCACATAAACATGTACTTTATTCAGTGCTGCATGTACTGAATGTTCATATGTGGCTGTCATTGTGGATGATGCTTATTGAAGGTGAGAGCAGATTGTCTGGGCAGACCCACCCCTAGCAGTTTTATCTATTTCCTTTAGAGCTGCCCCTCCTCCCACACCACTCAGGCCAGGAGGGAAGGAGAGGGCAGTGCTGCCTGGTACATGGGGTCTCAGAGGGCCACGTCCTAGGTTTGACATGGGTGGAGATATCATCCATGTGTCTCGGGAGACAGGTTCAGCCAGCTTTTCTTCTCTCACTGGGAGATACTGGTCAAGATGGGACAGAGTCTTGAAAGTTCTTTCTTTAGAAAGAAAGACACTACCATTTACTGTATACCTACGATGTGCCAGGTACCATGCTGGGTGCTATTCCACGTGAGCTCTTTTTACCTTCCCAGCAGTCCTGTGAAGTAGCTCCTGGCATCCCCAGTGCACGAGACAAGGAGAAAATGAGCGACTTTCCCAAGGACACAGAGTGGGTAAACAGAGGAACTGGGATGCAGACAGACTCCCATTCCATGCTCTCTCTCTCACCACATCAGTGGTTTTAACTGATTCAGGTGGACTCCCTGAACATGGCATTAGGGAGTATCAGTTCCCTGAATGTGCAGGGGGAAGGTTCTCTGTTTCTTGGGTCAGTCTCTTGAGAGCCTTGTGGGCAATGGCAGAGATGGTGTGAACTAGTTAATATACTGGAAGTGTCCCCAGGTGTCATGCACTTGGCTCCCAGCCAGTGGTTATATGACATCAGGGAAGGGACACAGGTGTATGGGACACAGGTGCATGGAGGTAGGGGGTGGCGTAGGGGCAGCCTAGACACCTGCTGAAGGCTCAGTCCTATGCCAGTGGGTAGGTGGGTGGGGAGGGGGAAGCAGCAGATGGACAGGGTCGGGGTGGGGGCAGGGATGCTGAGTCGGCTCTGAAGCCCAAGGTGACTCGAGAATCTGCCAAGAAGAGACAAATGTGAAGGAGAAGAAAGGAAGGGAGGGGAGGGGAGCTGTAGTGGAGGAGAAACTGAGGCAGCCCAGAAGGAAAATGGGGTCAGGGCAGATGATAGAAAAGGGTTTGCAGGGTCTGGGGCAAGATGACACAAGTTCTTAACCGAACTCTACTGGCAAGAATTGTTCTTTAGTTTCCTCAGCTACAAACCAGGGTACAAATAATGCGTGTACCCCCAAGAACCTCTAGTTCTCCACCACTAGAACCTAAACTTCATTTTGGCCTAGTTGCCAAGGAATGAGCCACAGGGAACTTAGTTGCTATCGGGCCCAGGAAGGGCCAACTTTGGAGGGCTCCAGGGGCTGGCTTCCCACCCCAGTCTAACCACATACTCATTTCTCCAAGCAATGGTCACTTTTTCCTCTGGCCCCAGATTGATAGGCCTGCATAGTAGGCGCTCCAAGAACATTCACTGAAAAGATGAAATGAACAATTGGCTGGTACATTGGTCAACAATTGCCCCTTAGCTGCTTTACTGTCAGCAAATAGTTCTGGAGCATCCACTTGTTCTTAGCAAAGAAGACCCAGTCCTTACCCTCAGGATCTAATAGATTAGTGAGTAAAGAGTCTAAGGTGGCAAAGAGTGTTAGCAGCGTGCCTTCAGAGGTGCTCCCAAACCAAGGCCAAGAGGAATAGGTGGCCAACGTTTGGAGGAAAAAAATATGTGTGGTTAGGCTGGGTTGGGGAGCCAGCCCCTGGAGCCTTCTGAAACAGGCCCTTCCCGGCCCCAACAGTGATTAAGGTCCTTGTGGCTGGTTACTCGGCAGCCAGGCCGGAAGAAAAAGCCCGTAATTAACAAGCTGGCACTCACACAACCACATGTCGGCACGCCCAAGTGCTGGGATAGCTGTCTGTCAGTTGTAGCTGCTGGTGGAATTTTTTAGACAGCTGGGCTCAAGCCGGGAAATGAATATAAGTTACATTTCTATGCATCGTTGTTCGTGGTGGTAAAAAAAAATTAATCAGTGACATAGCTGTGACACATACTCATTTAAGAGTCTACAGAGAAATGTTCATTTGTCAGAGGCAGCAAAGAAGAGATTATGTGTCAACCGGGGAGGGGTGAAATATTTATACAATGGCTAATAAACACCGGTGTGTAAGGGGGTCAATTGATTGTGTCAGTGGCCACATGACAAATACACCATTGAGCAGCCATGGGTACTACCCCTGTGCCCGGGGGCTCCATTCTGATGACAAATATACAACGTGTTACTGTTAATGCTCCCCACCGACCACTGGCTCGGCCCTCTTTGCCGTCTGGGCAACCACAGATTACTAGGAAGCAGAAATCCCATGGAAGCTGCCTACCCCCAAATTCATTAAGTTGAACTTGAAGTTGGTAAATTACTCCCCAAATACCAAAACAGCTGCAAAAAAACCATTTCTTTGTGTATGTGCTGTTTTTTAAAACTTCATGTTTCTGAATTTCAGAAGGCCCAGAAAATGATTGGTCTTTTTCCCTGTCTCTACCAAGACCATATACCAGCACTCCGATGCAGACCTCACTCTGCCCCATCCCCTCGTGGGTACGGTGGTCTTTCTGGGCCTAGACCCCCACCTTCCATTGCCTAAAGGGATAGCAGTCGGATCAAGACATTTGTCATTCCCAGGGAGGAAGCCCTTGACTCTCACTTCCCTGTATGGACTTGTGAGAATGGCCATCAAGTTTTTCAGAAGGGGACGGACATCCTATCAGCAATGAACACCACTAGTTTTTGAGCCCCAGTCACATACCAGGCTCTGTGTCAAGCACTCTACATACATTATTTCACTGAGCCTTATACAACCCTTGAGGTAGGTCCAGCTGTATAGCAAGAAAACCAAAACTCAGATTGTCTAAGGCTCCCAGTTACATGGTTGGAGGTGGGACTCCAAGCAGGTAGGACTCTGGAGCACAGCCTTCTCCATCCTGGCTTGCCTGTTCCACCATTGTTGGAGCTGTGTGTCTCATGGTTAACACCTGAAACTCTTTTCTTTTTCAAGTTTACTTATTTATTTTGGGAGAGAGAGCAAGCGAGCACGAGTGGGGAAGGGCCGAGGGAGAGGATCCCAAGCAGGTTCCATGCTGTCTGTGAAGAGCCCAACATGGGGCTGGATCCCATGAACCATGAGATCATGACCTGAGCTGAGATCAGTAGTCGGATGCTTAACTGACTGAGCCACCCAGGTGCGCCTAACACCTGAAAATCTTAATCCTCGTGTTGAGGATTCTAAGGGAATTCAGATTCTAAGGGATTAATTTATAACCCAGAAGATTGTAAACTTGTGGAGGCAGAGGCTGTGTCCCAAGCTCTTTGCTCACTACATTCACTCCAGAAAAACTTGGCTGATTCTCCTTTCTTAACTGGGGAGGGTAGAGCCACTCCCAATCCCTAAAATGCTCCAACCATCTTGGCTAAGAACTATGGGACTTGTTCCCACCCCTGCCCCCGTGACTGAGAGAGGCCCCCTCCTCTCTTGTGCACCTGCTCCCAGCCTAGAACCTGCTGCCAGATGCTGTAATGCCCCTATCGTTCCTGTGAGGGCATCCAGCATCCAACATCGTCATTTGATTTGGAATGCGATGACACCCTGAGAAAACAGTTGCAGATGAAATTTCACACATATCTGTGAATGTGGAGATTATAGATAAGCACACGTTGCAGCTTGTTTTTACTTTTTAAAATGAGATTCCTTCCTTACAAAGTGGTATTCCACTTTAGATTTCCCACTGTGGAACTGTTAATAATAATAATATTAATGATAGTGATCATAATACAAGTTGTGTTTATTGAGCATTTATTATATGCTAAGTGCTTTGCGTGTTCTTTTGTATAATCCTCATAATCCCATTTTACAAATGAGAAAAACAGAGAAATTAAGTAATTTGCCCACAGACACACATAGCTAGTAGGAGGTGGGATTTGAACCTAGGTGTACCATCTGCAGGGCCTCTGGACTCTTATCCATTAAGGCCTGAGTTCTCTCGTATTGCACTGTAGTGACCCCACCCAACCCAGCCCCTGACTTTAGCCATGTTGAAATACTCTAGCTCCACAGTTGGTCTTGTTTTCTTTGCACATGCTGTTCCCATTGTCTACAATGCCCTCCCTTCTATTTGCTCTCAGTTGGGTACCTCCTTGGGGACCACTGTGGAGAAGCTTTGGCTCTCATGTCTTACCCTACCCACAAACCATCCCCCTACCCTGGCCTCAAAAGTTTCCCCCAAGCACAGCCAAGGGTGCCCTAGAAGCCTGCCCTCCCATATTCCCACAGCCTGCAGGGCTGGCTCCAAGGGTCTAGGACAAAAGGTGACTGGGAAAGATCTTGCACAAGAGTGGACCACATTCCCAGTGCCAGCCCCATCCTCCACATGGCCTCCACAGCATCCTTAACATAGTTCTGACCGGATCACTGCCCTGCCACATGCCCCTCTCAACACTGTACAAGCCTCATTTTTCCTCTCTCCTCCAGCCAAACTGTCTCACCTACGGGGTCCCTGAACAGGTGCTACTCTCTCTTGCCCTCGGCTCTTTCTGCTCGAAGCATCCTTCCTTCTTTCTCTGCTGCCTGACAGCTACTCATCTTTCAAGATTTCATTTTGGTTTCCCTTTCCTCCAGGAAGCCTTCCCAGACTTCTTGAGCCTGAGCTAGCTCCTGCAGAGCAGGAGATTGGGATACTGCCCACTGTGGTATTCCTAATGCCAGGCATGGAGGAAAGCCTCAATGAATGTTTGTCAAATGAATGTCTGAATAAATGAG